CTTAACTTGTCGGCAAAGGCCGGGTCACTTAACCCGGGCGCGGCCGACGACCCTCGAGACCTCCGAGACCTCTCCTTACACCCGCCCGGTTATTGGCATTTTACCGTTAAACCGGAAAAATACAGAAATTAGTTGAAGTTTATACAATGCCAATTATTTAATGTAAAAGATGAATACAAATTTATAGTTTAAAAGTTTTCTGACATTCATACACTCTTAAGATGTCCACTACTGAACATAGGCCTCCCCCAAGGAATGCCACAAAACAGCGCCTTGAGCCACCTGTATCCATTGACTTCCTGCATGTCTTACCAGGTCATCACTACATCTAGTTAGCAGCCGACCTACACAGGCCTCCGCTCATTTCTGAGAGGATTTTAGGGCAAGGAATTGTCCGCCGCGCTGCCCCAATGCGTGTTGACAAACTTCACATGTCTTCGAAATAATTTTTCTTCTTATTTCTCTGACATGCAGGTTTCTTCATGATGTTTTCCTTCACTGCCGTGCACGTGGTAAATGTCATAAAGTACAATGTGATTTTTAGGGAATAAATCATAATGTCCCAAATACACACAAAAAAGATTTATAAAAAATGTGGTTTAACCCTATATACTTATATAAAACGGTTTTAGTTATTATTAATATGGTAAGTATACCGTTACTATGACAATCAATCTATCAAAAGTCTACTGATGAACGTAGAGGCCTCAGACTGCCTCATATTTGCCGCAGTAGTCACGCTTAGCTTGTGGGATAGCTACCGCAGTTTCTTATTCTTTGTTGTTATCAAGAAGACGCTGCTCTCGTAGTTTGTTTTCGTATGTAATTTCTGACGACGTCCATTGGACGATATGGAGTTGTGGATATTTCTACACCGCACACGTACACCATAATTATATTTTATAAATACTTACGGGTATAGTATAATGGAGGTCCATGTCACACCTATGGCGGAATTTGTTGGGAGCACTAAGCTCTAAGTTGTCGACGAGTACGTTTACCTGGGACAAATAGTCCGACTAGGTAAGTCCAAATTCGACCGAGAGGTCAATCGACGGATTCAACTCGTCTGGGCAGCGTTCGGGAAATTACGACGCATCTTCTCGTCAGGTATACCTCAAAACCTGAAAACTAAGTTATACAATCAGTGTGTGTTGCCAGTGATGACCTACCGAACCGAGACGTGGTCCTTCACTGCTGGCCGTATGAGGACGCTCAAAGTCGCTCAGCGAGCTATGGAGAGGGCTATGCTCGGAGTTTCACTGCGTGATAAACTTAGAAATGAGGATACCCGCAGTAGAACCAGAGTGACCGACATAGCCCAACGGATTAGTAAGCTGAAGTGGCAATGGGTCGGCCATATAGCCCGAGGAACCGACAACTGTTGGGGAAGAAAGGTTCTCGAGTGCTAGCGTCGTACCGGTAGGCGAAGTGTAGAGCGACCCCCCACTAGATGGAGTGACGACCTGGTAAGACATACAGGAAGTCGATGGATGCAGGTGGCTCAGGACCGTGCTTTGTGGCATACCTTGGGGGAGGCCTTTGTTCAGCAATGGACTTGTGAAGGGCTGTAATGATAACGATGATGATAGTATAAATATATATAATACAGTAAATTTGAAGCTTACACTTTAATAGATACAAAAACATTGTGACGTATCCTAATGGAATTATCCTAAAACATGGATCATATTTTAGGACTTTAATATAAATAAAATGAGAACATCATCAATGTAGTAGAAATCATTTAAATAAGCATTATTAAGGATAACTCAAAAACTACTGGTTAGATCTTGGTCAAATTTATATGGAACCACATGAGAAGCACCAGCTTTCTCATCATCAATCATCAATCTCATCTAAATCGGTTCACCCAGGGAAAAGTTCTGAAGCAGCATACATAAAAATAACAAAAACATAGTCGAATTGAGAACCTCCCCTTTTTTTGAAGTTGGTTGAAAATTATTTCCGCTTTAGTCCTGACCTACGATACGCTTTTGCGCCAATACAACTCCCTGCGGAGTCCGGGTCTTATCGCAACCTTTACCCGGACCACGATGTGTCCGATAAACCGTCAAGCGTTAATGATTAGACTACTTACTTTGGATTATACTCGATTGTATTCAGTTTCACAACAAAACATAAATTGTAAGAAGTAAACTATTATTAAAAACATAAATATGACCCTGACCCGAGAACCCGGCTGTTCCGATAAGACATGTTCATCAGAATGTACTTAAAGCGAACACTATATTTCGTTTTAATGGCATCTTTTTTGTTATTATTACTATATTTTTAATTACATCGTTTATTTGTTTTTCCTATTCATTTCATCAAAGTCTGTACCTGCCAACAACAAGCCATCAAGTTCACCATATAAGATCCAAAAGATTTAGTGATTACAAAATGGATAAATAAATAAATAAACGTAGCCTTTGAAACAACGGGATCAAGATCACTTTAACGATACCCCGGACTTCAAATCAAATAAGCTGTAGTAAGGCTAGGCAAACAAAGCTACAAAAGCTCACAAACAAACATAAAAACATACATACAGTGGCTTAGCAAAGAATTGCAGCGCTGGAGGCCGCGGGTTTGAATCCCGCAGGGAACAAGTATTTGTATGGCATACAAATAATTGTTTTCGGTCTTGATGTTTGTCCTTATGCAATTTATGTTTGTAAACTGCCTGCACGTTATATAAAGAAATCCTAGTGTAGGTATATCGTTATTATAAAGAAAAAATACATTTATACATGCAACCAGAAAATGTAGGATATTTCCTTCAGGAGCAAACGAGTCAGCAGTTGATAATCAAATTTTATTTTTAAAGTACTCAAGAGTGAATCCACTTGTGACGGGATATGTGTTGTATAGTGTAAAAATTAATTATGTATGAGCATTTTTTTTTAACATGGTTCTCAAAATATTTCACGAAATAACAAATTTCAAGCCGAATATCGGTTTATTTAAATACATAACGAAAAGCAGACATATTCGTATATAACGACACGTCAAGATTCGTTATTTTTCTATCGTGTTTAAAAATAAAGGATGAATAAAATGAGGTTCTTCCAAGCGATGTTTCGACCCTAGTGATAAATGCCAGGAACTCATGAACTTCGGGCAACTTTTAAGTGTCATGCATTCAGTTACGTTCCCTCGAAAGTTTTGGGGCAAGGAGTTTGAAATTCTGATCGTCTTCAGCTTATAGGAGCACCTAACTAGTATCGATATTATATATTAAATTTATTTGAAAATACAAATTGATGTCTCTAAAAATACTACTTATTAAGAAGCTGTAACAACAAATTAAAATTTTAGGGATAAAATACGTGCTGGAGACCAGCGGTGTGGTAAGACTGTAATGGATTGCATCACATCATTTTGTCCCGTGTTGCTTTTTTTTAATAGGATAGGGTGACAAACGAGCACACAGTCCACCTGATGGTAAATGGTTGCTGTGGCTCATAGACACCTACATGTATCCTCGATTACGAATCAAAATGCTGATGCGTTATCACCCGTGAGGACTAATATGGAATGCCTCGTTTCCAGTAAAGAGGGTCTCCGGTTCTCTACACTCACCATACGAAACACTGCAGCATTAAGCTACTATTTTACGCTGGTATTCTGAGAGAAAATAATATTATTGTAATTGACTTAAATGCCGTTATTCCGTCTCGTATGTCTGGTATTAAATACCCAGATCTGCGACAAGGTGCAGTGTCAATCAAAAATCGATAAATCGAGTGCCTAACGTGGAAATAACTGCCTAAATGGGACAGGTTCATCTCGGGTTTCGTAGACTGTTACTGACGGATAACGAAAAAGAAAAACAAAAACTTAACATAATATTTTAAGATATGGCAAATAATATAATTTTAAAATAATACCTTGATATTTTACTGGTAACGAGACATATCATCTAATTCTTCAGGAGCGACTACGCATCTAACATATCATATCACATTTTAATTTTTAATCGAAGGTTGATATAATACAGGTGGACTAAAACATCTGTTAACCATTTGGTCGTCTGTGTGCTTGTTTGTCACATTCACCTCTATAAAAAAATATTAACAATTTCTCGAATATAATAAATATTAAAAGTCGGATGGGTTAGAGATATTTTCTATGGAAAATTTCATAAAGGATATAGAGAAATATAATTATGAAATTATTACATTATCATCGGATATTAATACGTCTGCAAAACTTGTTTGAGAGTTCCGGAAGTGGTTCAAATTTAAAATTTAAAAAAATTATGACAATCAAACACTTAACACATTCATATACAGGATAAGCTAATAAAAACGTATGAAAAATCTAGGTTATACTTTGACGATGTTCCAACACAAAAGACGCTGTTTTCAACTATGTCACCATTTGTTAATGTTATGATCTTTAGATATTTTTACATTGCCTTTTTAGGTAAGTAGCTACATAATATGCTTAGTGCGTACTTAGTAACAAACCTATTAAAATGGCAAACGTAACCGGGTCACAAAATTCTGGTTTAGTTAACTTATTTCTAAGTATGGTAATACTGTGGAAGTGACCTTGTTTAAAATATTTGCAACAATTTTTCGTTGGTTGTGTTTTAGATAATATGATCCTCGCTCAATTAAATCGTATAGATTGTTGAATTGGCTACAGTGAATCAAATCTAATAGATTGCTTATTTCTTAATTAATTTAGTTAGCGCTTAGAACAAGACTATCGCGATCATTAACCATTTACTTATAAAATTATTTAATTTATAATAAAACTAATTCTCTGTTATAAATATACTAGCACTGTTCCTGTTTAGCGCGCACCGACAAACTTTAATTAACGTTTATGAATCGCTCCATATATGTATTATTGGCCTTAGTCCCTGACCCCATTATATTACTAATGAATACTAACAATGGCGTAATGACGTTATTTGTGTAAATTGTATTTCATTCTATCCAAGTTACAATACGAAACACTAATATTTTTCTAATTGTTTGCAGGTCTTGCAAGACATCAAGGTAAATATAGTCATGTGCTATCCTTGTCTAATCCAACATTTTATTATCTCTTTCGTTTGCACATTTTCACGCACTTTAGTACACCTAACAAGATCTGCGAAAGGATGGTCATGCTTAGAGAAATTCCGCTACTATCCTGCAAAAATGGAATGCAAATAATCTCTGGTTACCATGACATTGATGCACTTTCTAGCACGTCTTTTTATGTTAACCCCTTTTTAATTTTTAAATTATATGCTTGCGATTGTACAATACGCACGTGTAATTTTCATAACCACTTTATCCTTAGAGCTTATGCTTGTAAGATATCCTAGCGTCTTATGTACTTCTACTTAGTTACCACATAACCTGGAGGCAGTCCACTGCTGAATATAGGTATCTGTCATATGGGGATGATATACTGCAATCATAGCGTTTACTATCTAAACTTGGTATGGAGACTAGCGATTGTAATACGACATTCTCTTAATATAATGCCGCGAAAGGTGGTAGTTTTTTTTCGCTGTCACCAAATGGTGATGATACTGTCAGGTGTCAGGTACAGACACGGTTCAGATATATTATGGTTGCAGCAGGGATGGGTAGAATCGACACGCGTTAGAATAAGGGTTATAGTACCATAATGGTGAATAGTAAATAATCCTTCCACCCAAAATGCAAAGAAAAACGTATTTTGAGAGTAGAGAACAAGACACTTTTTATTGATAGCGAGTCATTCTATCTTAGCCTTCACAGGTGACAACGCATGGAATAAGTGTCTATGAACCACAACCTTCCCTTACCACTAGGTGGACTAAAAGCTATATCGTTGGCATATTTATTGAAATTACCGATGTTTATTCTTACTCACTGTATAAAGTATAGGGTTGTTTATCTTAATAACAATTTAGCTTCATATTTTTTCATAAAATAAAGGTGACAAACTAGCACACAGTCCACCTGATGGTAAGTGGATGCTGTGGCCTTTAGACATCTATATTTATAATTTTATACTGTACGCTCAATAGAATAAAAATTGATTAGAGGATCAGGTAAGTCACATTTGCATTTGCTCCTTCTTCTCTTAAATGTAATTTCAACATCTTTAAAATATGAATAGGGGAATAATCATGTAATATATAAATAGCAGGTGTAAAATATTTATTTACGCTAGTGACGTAGAGCAACATCGATAACAGTGTGCGTGTTTGGTACTGCCAATCGTTCGATAGATGTTAAAAAAAAATCTTTATAAATATGGTATAGCACTGGATGGGACTTCTAGTTTTCGACTATCAATCCGAATATCGAAATATTCAATCAGGGCTGTATCCACTCTTATGTGTTTCTGCCACCAAGCAGCCGTACACTGCTGTGATTTGGTGTTCAATGTAAGAGGACTAGTATAATTACTGGCTGTCAAGGCGTCTCTAGATTTGTTCATTAACAATTCTTTATTTCGGGTTTCATGAAAATGTAACTGAGTCGAAGCTAATTTTAAAAAGGATATTCTATTTTTTTTTAAATATAGAATAAAGGTGACCGCGAGCATACAGTCCACGTGTGATAAATGAATGCTGTTGTCCATAGACATCTGCATTTATCCTCGATTAATAATCAAAATGTAGATGCTTTGTCACCCCTGAGGACTAAGATGGATGCCTCGTTTCAGTAAAAAGGGTCTCCGGTTCTCTACACTCACTATACCAGACACAATACCATTAAGCTGCTAATTTACGCTGGTATTCTGTGAGAGCATGGTCTGTTATGTTATGTTATATTTTATCAAATTTAATTTCTTCTACTACTTAGTACATTTTGTATTTGAATAGTAAATATAAGTTTATATACGAGTACTTCACGCTGGATCTGTAAAGGCATGATTTTAATTATTATTAGTAATTGTATTTACTTGTCGCTCGGCGTCCATCGTATTTATTGTTTATTAAGTTGCCGAACAATTCATATCTTTAATTCTAAAATACTGTTCTTTTTGAGCTGTAGTGCACTTTTAAAATTTTATTGTACTATTTTGGCCTTGCCTATTTTCAGGGTTCCGTAGAGTAAGTATAAGAGTATAACGGAACCCTGATAATGTCATTCTGCTGCCCGAGTCTCTAGTCGGTAGACGGAATGAGTAACAATCTGAAATTTATGCATTTTGTGTATTATGTTGACCTTATTAGAAATTCAACAAAATCATTTTTCAGAAAAAATTTTATAAGACAAAGATACTGGAATTTTTTTCTTACTCTTATATGTGGGAGTGTCAAAGTCAAGAGCTAATTTTTATCTCCCGAAAAGGGGGACATCAAATCAAGCAGTCGTGAACCATTTTTGTTACGGAGTCTATCGCAAAAATAAAATAAGTTAGAAATTGGAAATGTCTATATATTTTGTACCATACGAGTAATATACTCTATTTAAATAAAAATAGTAAAAACATCGATTGGAAATTTTTACTGTGACTAAAACAAACAAATATTTTTTTTATTAAAAAACTTAGTTGTTTATAATATGGAACCCTAACGAAGACCCGACTCGCTCTTGGCCGGTTTTTTTATCAGCTTTCCTTTGTAAAGATTGGGTTATTTTATCTTAATGTTGAGCTTTATTTATGAACGTTACATATTAATGCCCCGTAGTAAACTTCTTTATTTCGTTCTGGATTGGTATGACATATATTTACCAGTACAAATAAATTTACAACAAAAACAACTTTTTTAAAAGCTTAATAAATTATATCGTTGGCATATTTATTGAAATTACCGATGTTTATTCTAACTCACTGTATAAATTATAGGGTTGTTTATCTTAATAACAATTTAGCTTCATATTTTTTTATAAAATAAAGGTGACAAACTAGCACACAGTCCACCTGATGTTGTGCCTTTAGACATCTATATTTATAATTTTTTATAATTTTATAATTTTTTTATTAAAAAAGAATATTAACAATGCTATAAACATTACTAACATTCCCCGTAACCACTCGTGGTAAGCTTAAATTGCTTGTGTTACGAGTGGTTCACGCCAGTAGTCGATTGGTGGATTCGCACCCACGACCTGTTTGAGTTCGCGGTCCGCGCCCTGTCATTAGGCTACTGTCGCTTCTAGAAAAAGAATTTATTCTCGATTAAGAATAAAAATGCAGATGCATCGTCATACCTGAGGACTAAGATAGAATGCCTCGTTTCCAGTAAAAAGGGTCCCTAGTTCTCTACACTCAACATGCGATACACAGCAGCTTCAAGCTGCTATTTTACGCTGGTGTTCTCTGAGAGCGTAGCCCTACCCCGGTCGAGCCGACCCATTCGTGCTACAACTAATATAGATGCAGCATGGCGCTACCACATATAATTTAGAAGCAATTTTAAAAATTGTAATGAGACTACATATAAAATTAGTCTAAGTGGGTCAAAATTGGCTAACAAGATTCTTAACCCAGCTGACTAGCTAGTGAACTAACAACTGAAGTCGCATAAGTGCTGGAGAAGAATTGACAAACAATTGTCGTTTTTTTTTCATTTTAATCAGCGCAATATGTCAGTAAATAATATTACGTGCGTTTTTATAGATCTGCTTTATTTTAACTGCGGTTGCCAACCCGCCTGCAAGCGTGGCAACTGTGGCAAATATCCCTCCTATGAAGCAGTCTATGGGAAAGGCCTATGTTCAGCAATAGACTTTTTATAAGCTGTAATTAATAAATGAATGGATTTTTAGTGGATTTTACTTTTGTATCTTGCAACTGTAACGCTGTATATACCACATGGTTTACCATCATCATGTAAGGCTATGAAATCTTACCGGCACCTCTTACGACACCTACTACGGGACAAAATAGATTAATAGATTCTCTAATATGGCCGTATGAGGACGCTCAAGATCGCTCAGCGAGATATGGACAGGGCTATGCTCGGGGTTTCTATGCGTGATAAGCTTAGAAATGAGGATATCCACAGTAGAACCAGAGTGACCGACATAGAACAACAGATTAGTATGCTAAAGTAGCAATGGGCCGGACATATAGCTCGAAGAACAGACAACCGATAGGAAAAAAAAGTTTTGGAGTGGCAGCCTCTTACCGGTCGGCGTAGTGTAGGGCTATCCCACTAAATGGATAGACGACCTGATAAGACGTGCAGGAAGTCGAAGGATGCAGGTGGCTCAGGACCGTGCTTTATGGCATTCCTTATGGGAGGCCTATGTTCAGCAGTGGACTTGTGAAGGGCTGTAATGATGATTCTCTAATTCACTACATAGCGGCTTCGATTGCGCAAGGTTTTAACATATAGCATACTTTTAAGACTACTGTGATTATCTATAAGTGAAATTCAGTTTGACACAGTTACTTCGACTGAATCTGAAATTTTATGTATTAAGAACCGATTACTATACAATAAATTCAGGTCTTTAATCTAGTATTTTCACTAGAATCATCACACCTCATGATCAATGCGAGGTGTTCATGTTAAACTGTAATATGTTTTATTAACTTACAACATGTCAAGCGAAGTTCTCGAGTAGCAGCCTCGTACGTAAGACATGCAGGAAGTGGATGGGTGCAGGTGGTTCAGAATAGCGCTTTGTGGAATTTTTCTGGTGAGGCCTATGTTTACCGGTGGACTAGTGAAACGATGTAATGATGATGATGATGAACTTGTCAATAGGCTTTAATTTAATATATTCTCGTAGACTATTTAATAATTCCATTTACTTGTCTATTTTACGATGTATACTAAGACATATCACATCCGCGAAGGTTCGATACGAGCGAGCGGTGCCGTAGGGGGAAATGGGGGACGATGGAGGCAATAGGGTGGTGGGGGGCGGTCGATGGTTCGTCGACCCCGACTGTATTTCGAAGCCACCCCGTACCGCCTTTCAGTTGCTTATTTATTAAAATTTCGTCGGCACTCGCCAACATAAACAGTCATAATGACGACCTTATTAAGGCAACGTCGAATTTAATTAATTTTCGTGGCAGTTCAGTAAAGAATACAACAACACTGATTAGG